AAAAGAAGAGTACGGCGGGGATTTGTGAAGTTGGCGAGACTAGGGTAACTTTCTTTGTTTTATCTTTTTTTTAAAGTAAAACATGGTTAAATAAAAATAGGGTAATTCTGGAATTTCATGTACACAAATTGTTAAACACCTAATTATAGTTTAGGTCATGTTAAATAATTAATTATGTCTACCAATCATAATATATATGTCTATTACTCTTAATTTAAAAACTCGTCCCAAAAAAAAACCAAACCATTTTATTAGCGATGAATCGATGATGCCATCTTCAAAAGAAACTAACCCAATCAACCTTGAATCCACATAAAAAAAAAACTTACTGTATATATATATATAAGTGTTTTCAATTTCACAGAAAATGAAGAGCTGCATTTGCTGCTAATTTTGAGGTATGAAAATGTTTTTTTCGTAAAAAAAAAATGTAGAACTATTCTAATTTTGAAGATGTATTATTTTAACTTCAATAAATCTATCCTTTTTTTTGTCAATCAGGCTTTCATTAAATTTAAAATCCAGTTACAATTGGGCCATTAAGAGTCTGTTTGGCAATAGAGTCAGCTATACCATTAGCTTCTCTAGGAATAACCTTAAACCTGATAAATGAAATTCTGATAAAAGAAAAAAAAAAGATCAGTTAAAATTCCATGGATCTCCAAGAGTATGGATATGGATTTGATGGATTTGATAAGGATCATCGAATCGGAGTGGAAGGTGATGGAATTGTAGCCGAGTCTTCTCGCATCTAACATCGCAGCACGAAGAGAGTGGGCTTCACCCATTAACGGTGAAGCGATTGAGGAGATCACAGCAGATTGGCTTTTGTTAAGACCTGGGCCATGGAAGATCCAGCCTAACCATGCCATTCTGGTTCCTGGATTCCAACCTGCATCGGTACAACAGTTGATCGTCCCATCCAGAAGGATTTGAGGACTTTTATGAGGCTCACAAGGCTTCCGAGGAAGGCATGTGATTGATTGGGCGAGGTTCCATTCTCTTGCATCCTGAATAGCTTTGAGAATGACCTCATCCGGAGCGAAGCATCTCTTGTTAAAGATCTTCTGATTTCGTGCTATCCAAAGAGCCCAAAGGATCCAAGGGGATAGAGTACCGGTTTCTAATCCCATCGGAGATAGTGTGTAGAGGGTTTTTGCGGACTGAATACCTGAGATGACATCGGTGATCTCGAAGGGGTCAAGAGTGATTGCTAGTGGAGCCTTAGTCCAGACCTCTTTAGCAAATAGACAGTGGAAAAGAAGATGCATGACTAATTCTGGTTCATTGCAATTCGAACAATTTGAAGAGATCGGA